TAGGGAAAGGGGGGACCTCAGCAGAGTATAATGATATTGAGTCTACCTCCCAGAGCAACCATTTTTTCCAAGGGAAGCGATCTCTGTAGTCTGGAGATCAGTTGTAATTACAGGAGATCTCCAGCCACCACCTGGAGATTGGCAAGGCTGGGCTGTAAAAAAGTAAAGGTAAAGGTTCCCTTGCTCGAAAGCCAGTCGAATCCGACTCTAGGGTTGCGGTGCTCATCCTTGTTTCAAAGCCGAAGAGCCAGCGCTGTCCGAAGACGTTTCCGTGGTCATGTGGCCGGCATGACTAAACGCCAAGGCTACTTGCAATTTCTTGCTTTCGAACTGCTAGGTTGGCAGGAGCTGGAACTAGAGATGGGAGCTCACTCCATGAACTGCTGAACTACTGACCTTCCACAGCCTGCAGTTCAGCGTCTTAACCACTTGAGCCACCGCAGCTCTGTACTCTATATGTGAGCTACAAACTTTCGAGTTTTTCTATCACCTCCTCCTTTCAGTGCTGAGTATCCAGCCTGAAGAGTTACGAGGACTTCGAAACCTCGTCTAGACGTTTGAACTGGAGTTCAAAATAAAAGTTGCCGCCGTACATCCTGAATCTGGTCCAGCTTGGGCCGTAGTTCACACGCCCTCTCTGACATCGCCCTCTGCCGGCAACCCGCGCGCAACATTCCGCCCGGCGCTTTCGCGGAGGCAAGTGGGGAGGCAGCTGAGCGGCGCCTGCTGCCCAGCAGCGAAAGAGTGCCAGAAAGCCCGTCCCCACCACCAGGGGAGCCGCCTGCTGCTATTATAACGCCCCCCTCCCGCCCGGCGCGCCTTTTGCATGCTGGCTGTTGTTGGAGCTGCAGAGGCCATGGGTGACTCCGGCCTCCTCCCTCGGCCCAGTGCCCGCTCCGTCTGGTTCCTCGCCTCCGCCTTGGCCCTGGTGGCTGCGCTAGGGGTCGCCACGGCTTGGCGGCGGCGGCGGCGAACTAATCGAGGCTTGGTGCGGGTGGGGACGGTGTCGGGGCTCTTTATTTACCCGGTCAAGTCCTGCCGTGGAGTGGCCGTGAAGCAGGCCGAAATGACCCCGCTGGGTCTCGGCTGCGGAGATCTGCGCGACAGGTAGCGGGGAGGGAGAAGGGTGGATTTGGCTGGTCTGTCTGCGAACGTCCACCGTGGAACTGCAGTTTCGCCTCTCCCCCGCCCCCTATTTTTATTCATCCTGTTTCTAGAGTGTTTTTATACAATAATTGCATCTCAACCGGCTTTGGGTGCGCCTTTAGGGCCACTTGAAGCTTGACTATGTGCCCCATGTGGTCGATAGTAAATCCGATTACTTGGGTTCTACTCCCAAACGAGGGTTGTAGATCAGTCAGTCCTCCTAGATGATTATTTGCTCAGAAGTAAGACCGCCAGAGTTTATTTAGAATAATTTCAAAACACAAGTGTGTTGGGTTAGATTTTGATCAAATCCTCCCAAGGAAACCTGCATAGTCTCTTGTGGAATGGGAAGTACCATTTCTCTGCTCCGTGGTAATAGATAGGTGCAAAAGTATAAGAGGACTTCTCTTATTGCTTCTTCATCACATTGGTTACTTAAGTAGTTACAAGATTGTGATTTTTTGTGTGTGATGGATATCCAAAAATTGTTTTCTCTGTCATAATCTCTTTGGGACTACTGTGGGTTCTAATTTGTGGTCCTGGGGTAAATCTGATTGAACTCAATGGGATTTCTGTGTTAATAAATTACAGCTGCCCTGGTAGTTCTGGAAATGGAGAGGCGGGATTGACATAATGCTGGCGTGGAAACCCCTGCTTTTAAAAGTGTCAGGTTTACCTTAATCTTCTTTCACTGTATTGTTTTCATCTATGAGCCTCCTACTTGAAAGAAGAAAGTTCAGATGCAGGTATACATACACACACACACTTTAGCCTGGTAAACTTTTAAATCTTAGGATTTTTTTTACAGCTCTGTTGACTTCAATAGATTTAGAACAGTGAGTGCACTATTACATATACACACACACCTTCCCCCCATCTCTAATGCACCTTTTGATGCTGTACACTGTGGGCCTGAAACAGCTTTCCCCACTTTTATTTATTTATTATTTCAATTTGTATCCTGCCTTGCCACAGAACTAGCTCAAGGCGGCTAACAACATTAAAAACACTAAGACAATAAATACATTAAAATACAATAGAGTATAAATACAACTGCCTAAGCAGTTGAACAGTACTGATGATGATGATGGCATACAATGTACAAACAGAGGCAATTAACCAACCGATGTTTCATGCGGGCCGAGATGTATTCCGACGGCGCATTTGTCAGAGGCGCATTCGCCAGTGGCCCACAGTGGCAGCTCCTAATCGAAAGCCCGGTGGAAGAGCTCCATTTTGCAGGCCCTGTGGAAGTGTAGAAGGTCCTGCAGGGCCCTGATGTTATCCGGGAGCTCATT